TCTACGCTGCAGAGAGTACTGCAAATGCTTGGTTGGCAGGGGCACCATCCTCAGCACTGCCAACACCATCAAAAATTTGAGTGACTAACTCCATTTCGGACAGGATTCCAATCCAAAATTCAATAACAAGAGGATTACCCACAATGAAGACATTTTAGAGGTCAATCCTCTCCCAGACCTCCTTCCGCTCCTACCAAATTCCTTGTCCAGAGCTCTAATACAACAAATTGAAAATGGATCAACATCAAAACACAGATAGAAGCAGAAGTTCAAAAGGCTTCATGGCTTACTCTGTTGAGGGAACTCAAAACCTTAATCAATAAAAACATTTTCAGGAGCAGAATGATTAAGAGGAGCGTTTTATCTTCTGATTTTTAACAGCTTAAAAAAAAAAAAAGTACCAATAAATCCAACTTAACCCAAGAAACAAAGAGGTAAGGGATAGCTTTCTAAATGTATGTCAGCTTACTAAACCGGCCCAAAGTTGCCAGAACTCATCTTGTTTGTAGAAATATTCAGATCAGCAGCATCCTTCCCCAGGGAGTTCTATTTAATCACTTCAGAAACTATTTCTTCCAGACAACAAAGAGCGATTAGATTACTTAATTAAAGCACTGATTATCTCCAACCCAAAACAACAGAACACAGAATCTAAAATAGATAAGATTTATCCAGATGCCCTGGTCCTCATTATGCTTTGATTTCAATCAATCGCACACACACGTCAAGCAAAGGGCAATAAATTACAACCATGTGTTTGAAGAAATTATCTTCGCGATATTGGAAGTGGAGAGCCAAGGCTCTAACCGAATGGTGTAAGATATTAGACTTCCATCTGGGAATAATAACCTACTGAACAAAAACATACCAGGGCATTAGCTTCAGGCAGTGTCTGAGTTAAACCTGGCAGCAGGAGATCTAAATTAAACAGTTGTTTTTTGGGAAAGTGACATGCACTTTGCTAAAACAGATAACCAAGAAATATGCTTGTTGTTTAACATATAGAATAGAGAGGGAATTAAAACCTAGTATGATTCCTCTTTAACCCAGAGAGACATGAACATGCCTCTAGAAATAAAAGGTGGGCAACTCTAGAGATACTTAAAGGTAGTTTGCATTAAAACAGACACTTACAGGGAACAACTCAGCACTGGTTAGGAGGCACTGAAGATTCAGCTAAGCTTTTCTTCTCAAGCTTTCATGATTTGAAACAACTCCATGCGATACTACAAGACTCCTCCAAACTTATTTTCACGCTACAGTCACTCGGTGTGCTGGCCAGTAAGCTTTTGGGGACAAAACTCAAATTTAAGACTAGTCACCAGCAAGCAAATCTGTATGGATTATTGCACACAAATTGTTAACAAATGCATAACAGGCTGTTTCCCTCAAAACACCCACGCTAGCAGGTGCCAACCCCTTGGGAAATGGCAAATACATGCCGATGACTCATTAAATGTAGGTGGATACTTACCACACCTGATTAGAACAGAAATCTAAAAAGGACTGGTATGTGGGCCAAATGGGACTGACAGAAGGAAAAACTGAAGCTATCTGAAGTCTTGGGAGACGCCCGAGATGAACTCGCTCAGATATTATCAGTTACTGTGCGTAAAGGTAAAATGGGAGACAATCCAGAGGGAGCTTGGACCGTATGCTGAGAGCAGAGTGTGAATAACACATATTCTCAAAAGTACTTATTTTTCTATAGAAAGGAAACATGTTCCTCTTCCGCTCCTCGCTGCAACGACCAGTATAAGATGTATTTTAAAGCTGGGGAGCGAAGCGAGCACCATGCAGAGCAACGTCTCAGGGACAAGTGCTTACAAGGTATTAAGATACACAACATCTTTCTAAGACGGGCAGTCCATACTGGCTAGATGTCTGCAAGCACAAGATCCAGCAGTTTAGCCCAGCAAGGCTGGAAACAAAGCCACAAACTGCTTTGAAAAACCTAGCAGAAACCCTCATTATAGGAATAAAATGTCTAACAGCCCAAGAAGTTCAAGCACACTGGAGCCCGGTGCTCTCTGCGAATGACTGCTTACATAAGATTATTTTTGTATTAACTTTACCTCTCTACCATAAAACACAGCATAGCTGTGGTTAGAGGTGTAGTTCAAAAACATTCTCTACCCCGTAGAGAGAGGGACAGAACAGCCTCTCAAGGGACTGCTGTATGAGAACCTGATGTGTCAGATCAGAAGCTTCTCTCTCAGCATCGTTTTCATCCTCTTAAATCTGCAATGCAAGCTGAAAGTCTAACAGTGCAACAGCCACTGCACTTAAACTCACATTTTTAAAGAAAGAATTTGTAATGTGAAGTATCGATTAGATTTGTGTCACCTATGAACGGTCTGGGTGGACGGACAACCCCATCAGAGTGAACAGAGACAATTAAAGTCTCTGCAGGTCAATCCAAGAAACTTTTTTCGCACACTGCCTACAAAACGAACGCCGTTACTGGAAGGTGGACCTGTTATAAATCTTCCCATATAGCAGAAACCATAATTTCCACAAAAGATACAGTACTGAAGACTGCCAGCACGCTGCTTATTTTTTTTGAGTAATACATCAATGCTTTCAAACGAGCCTGAAATATTTCACAATGCTGGAAAATCTCTGTTGTCACTGGCTCCGGAATTTGAAATGACACTGATAACTTTGTCCTGGAACCAATGCATCGTGCACTCCTTTCCCAGCACTGCAAGCTGCCAAACCAGAAGGCCAGTGACACCTTCAATCGACATCACATGGCTCAGACCTACTTCTGGCTTTACAGTGGGTACACGCAGTATTAGTTTCCAGCTCTAGCAGACCATGGAAATTACATCACTGCAATTGCCATCTTGTTCCCACTGCAACCCTCCCCACACTTCAGACTCCCACATGGCTTCAGCAGCTGTTATGCCGGTAATTGTTACAGTCATTCCCAACCTGATACGTTGGCAAGACCAGCACGCAGCAGCGAGGAAACCTGGCACTTGTTACCTCCGCCTCATTTTACCCCCCACTCCAATCTCCAAGTAAAAATTAAGCTTCTGCTGTCAAAATACAAAATCCAATTGTCTTATTAAGGAAACTGCAGAGTCCAACTACTAGAACAAAAGCATGTTTCTATCCAAATCTCCGTTGTAGGTAAAGTACAAATCATTTCCAATTTCAAGCATGAGGAACCCTTCAAATGGTCAGGTTAAGTTTCCCTAACTTCACAAATTCTTTCAAGAAATGCCACAATTTTTACACCACTCAGCAAAATGTAAGCCACCCTTCTCCTCTTTTTCTGACACATTTTTGAGATCATAACATGCATCAAAGCGTACTGTGCTGACAGATGCGCTTATCTAGTCTGACTACACTGCAAGCCATAATACCTCCGTCATTTCTGGCTGATGACACGAGAATGAAGTCTTTGTGAGAAATCCCTCCCGTATGCCCTCTAACAACGTACTGCCTATAAAACCTGGACTGACAAACTGAAAGATGAAATTTGATACAATCTCGCCTTTTGGTTCCATACAATGTATTAAGACTACTGTTGCACCACATGCTGAACAGGGCTCAGCAGATTCACCTAACTCTGAGAGTAACCTGTACCGCGCTTTCCTTCCTGCAAATGAAACCTTTTTAAAGGAGTTATTGTATCCAGCCATGACTTCACGGTCATCTGTTCAGAGAGGGATTTAAAAAGACAGTCTTGGTTCCACAAACCTACTCATTTTCATCTCAGTGTATTAAAAATCCTATCGCTCCTGGTCTGTTCTGCACCTGGGGAGTAACTGCAAACTTCTCTTTGCTGCATATGCAAAATTCCTTTCTTCCAGTAAGTTCAGATACCAGTAACAACTGTTACTTGCAAGAGAAGTCGGATACCTATGAAAATAATGCATGAAAATAAGTAAAAAATTGGTACCTGTAACAAAAGCGTGAAGATTACACGTTTGGACAGGCTACATTTACATCAAGCCACATCTTAAAATGAGTAGAAAATCTAGCAAGAAAAGTACCTTTTTATCTGCTTTTGTCAGCATTGTAATATACAGTGACACATGATGAACCACATCTAAGGATGTGTTTTATCTCCCTTTTTGGGCAACATGAAGAAGCAATGAGGTTCGTTCACCTTTTTCATGGTCATTAGGCATCTCCAATAAGAAAGCATCCCGTTACTGGATAAAGCAGTAAGTTCATTTTGCTTTGCGACACACGCTTCCTTTTTAGATTTAGCATTACTATTTCCATCCCATCACCGCTTAGGAGACCACAATCTAGAAAGACGACAGCTAAACCTGATCACATCTCAAGACCTTGGATGTGATTGCAATGCAAGACCAGCGCAGTCCCACCTTTCAGAAAAATTGTTCAACTGACAAGTCACCCAGGCAGCTTCCTACTGCTGCTTTAAAAAAGACACTGCCTAATCTACATTTATCTTACACATGCTCTATTAATTCCTTTGCTTTACACCTACCTCTTCAACAAGACAGGGCCTAAAACAAGCTTCAGAGAATGGCGCTTGCAGCAGAAGTACGTTAATCCCCATACAACTGCTGCATCTCAGTATACTAGCGCCTGTCATTTTACTGGAAGATGTGAAAGCTGCTGCTATATATATAGATATTTTGAAAGAGTACCGTCTTGAGGGAATGGGAAAAGCAGATGGTTTAAGACTGAACTTAGTCAAGATCAAAGAGAACACAGGTCATCTCAGGACAAAGACGCCATTAATCTGTTAAAGGGGGGAGGGAGGTAGGAAAGCACCTCAGCATCTGCCTCTAGCATCAGCTGACAAATTTGATCATGTTTTCGTATCGTGAAATCACAGCGGATACGCTTCCCACCAGCAGATCAGCAGCTGCCTACCCTTCTTCCTCTGCTATACATTGGTATGCCACTCTCAGAGGCAGCTAGCGACCACATTTTAGACTCATTGTGTGCATTGCATGCCTGCTGAAGGAAACAAAGAAAGCAGAGGGCTCTGTATGGTAGAACTGACATACAAGTCTCTGTACTGGTCAAAGGCATTGTTGGCTTCCACCTCCAGCTTGCGCAGGCGAGCAGATGGCATGGCACCGTCTTCCAGGGGGGGATCGTATTTGTTACTCCATGGTGATCTGCCAAAGAGACAAGGGAAACAGAGACAGTTAGACAACCGAGACAAACTCTGAGAGGTTTGAGATCAGTGGGTCTGACCTGATCCACAGATGCTGAACTTCCAAAAAAGCAAAAGGTACCGAGAGCAGTCTACCTGTACAAATTTCAGCCTCAACAGCCATTTCAAACACTGACAAAAAGGGGACACTGACTCCCCAAAGTTTACAGAGTACCTGGGGAACACTCCCCGTCTTCAGGTTTCTGCTATATAAATAATCATGCTTGGGTTTGAATCTGTTCCTTCTTAAATACTCAAAAATGAGGCCCCAGCTGTTGCACATTAGGTATTTAAAATTATTTTCATGCAAATACAAATAGATTGTGTAGTTTATTTGGGATCTGACAGTATTTGAGCCAAACACTGCTGTCCAAATTCTCCTCCCCTATTTTGCTTTGAAATAAACTCTACTTTTAGCATAACGTTAGGAAAACGTTTCAACAGTTTGAAGGATTTAACAGGGTTTGTAAAGCTGCAGGTTTTACTACGATTTCTGCAGGTGTGGAAGAGATTTTGTGCTCTTAATGAAAGACTTGGTATTAAAAGATTAATGGAACCCTTTGCCCATCTGCTTGAGACTTTTATAATTCCCATTCTGTAAACCTGCATTCTCCATTTCCCATTGGAATAACCAACCTACGTATATCACTGCTAGTTTAAAGAAAGGTACCTCTACCCTTTACCTACTCACTTTTCAAAATACTCCAGCCTACTAGCGCTAGGTCTTAATGCAGTCCATACGTAAGGGCTTTTTTCTCAGTAGCCATTTGTTCTTCATTTCTCAGAAAGGCATCTAGTTTTGACATCTTTAATGCAAAGCACAAAGAACAGGCCGTGCTTCGCTCTGGCTTTGCGCTTTCACAACACTTCACTCCTCCCTACCACATCTGACTCAAAAGGTGAGACACCAGGAAAAGCTAAATCATTATGTCACTTCCACCCAGAGCAATGTTTTTCAGGTGGTGGTTCTCATTTTAAAACAGTTGCTTAAAACTGGGTTGCTTTGGAGAAAAGTCGACAGCTACAGCAATGCTCCTTTACCTAACAACTCTCTGAAATCTGGAAAAGATAACGCACAAAAATCACCACCGGTGCTATCTGCGGGATTCCCAAATGGCACACCTACGCCCATCAGGCAGTACGCCCAAAACCAAACACCAAAGTTCAGGGAGACAGATCATTGACCTCGCTATCATGACGTCTGCAAAAGCAAAGCCAGGGTTTGTATGCCAGGCAATGCAGAAGTGTACTGCTACCTTATCACCGGCATTCATTAGGATGCACTTACTTTTTTCTTTCTCTACTGAATTTTAAAAGGCAGATTCCAAAAAAAGCCTACTGTTTTCTGTAAACACGGAACACTGTGCTTCTCCATCATGTACGAGGAAATCGGTGAGCAGAGAACCCATGCAGAAGCCACAGTCAAGATACTTTTAATCGTAAATATTAGATGTCTTTTGCGGGCTGCAGGAATGGGATTTAAGGGAAGCCTAGTAACATAGATTCTTCTAGCTAGCAGATTGTGGCATTTTCAACCCATTACAGTTGGAGCCAGCAGCAATTTCACCTAAAAAAAAAAAAAACAACCTCATAACACAACCCCATTTTTTTTTTCTTTTTGTGGAAGAGTACTCACAACACATTTAAAAACTTAAATGGAGGCTATTTGAAGAAAGACAGACGGACAAGCACTTAAATTTCAAAAGTCAGACCTCTAATTTCCCTAAAAGAGAATGTTTTTTGTTTCAGCTAACAGGTTTCAGTGTTGTTGGCACCAAATTCCCCATAAGGATTCCATTTAATAGAGTGATCAAACATACTTAGAGTGGAAATGTATGGACAAAGTCAGGGACCTTGAAGTCGTATTAAAAAAAAAAAAAACCACCTTAATAAAAGCTCTGCCTTGACGATGTGGATTCCACGGCTGTTTGATATCCTCCACAAACCTTTGTTATTACAGGAGCACTCGCAGAAGTGCCTGCGAGACCATGCGCACAAAAGGCTGCTCCCACAAGCAGCAGCGTGATAATATGAAGAAACCGAAAATTATCTATTTATGAAGATCCAAGAGAGACTCCAAATATCTATCTTCTGGTCTGATTCACGTTCAACATGGAGAAAATCAAGCCTGTCTAAATATGAGGAAGGAGTAAACTCTGATGGGCTAAGCATTAGGATATTCACTTCCCTGTGTGCTGCCCCATGAAACTGATGGAGTTATCACCTGAATGGCCAAACACCCCGCACCAGCTTTTTTCCAAAGCTAATTCCCAGTCAAATTGTAAAGCCACTCAAAAAAACCCCTACAAAACTTGATTCCCAGTGAGAAAGTCTGACTACCTAGCTCCATCTTTTCTGCCAAAGTAGCATGAGGCTCTGTTGTCCGCAGAAAGCTTTGAAATCCTTGGATTAGTATTAAAAGAAATGCAATTAGCAACCTCTCCAATAAGAAGAAAACTGGTGTTTAGTTTGAAGCGTGCAGTGATTGGGGATGTAGCATGTTGCAGACAGGGAACAGTATTTCTTGGGACTTCTAATCGAGCGTGTGGTTCTGAAAAATCTTTGTGGAAATATCAAAAGCTTTTAAAAGCACAGTAAACTCCTCCTAGATTTCGGCCTAATTGATTAAATTAGTGTAAGAGCCACTTCCCAGTAACAACTTCAGATTTTATGAGGTATGAATAACAGTGTCTGAACACAGGCACAGAATGGGATTAACACACGCACATGTCAGTGTCACTTGGTTTTCAAAGGCTTTTGCTTTGTGCTGAAGGAAAGAATTTACTTCATGAAACAGAGCTGAGACCAATCAATTCCAGAAGGAAGAATCACTTCAATCCAGAATGCTTGAATCAAAAGCCTTAAAGAACAGCATTCTTTAATGCCAGCAATTAATAAATTATGCCTATTCTATACAAACAAATGAAACAGCTTTTCTGAAACCCCATTACTTAATAAGTCCTGAAAATTTCGAAGTGATTTAAAAAACATAAGCCCCCCTGTTTCCTTGTAACTATTTAAGTATCTTCTCAGCAAGAAAGAGATTGAGCGAATTTCAGAGGCAAGCATGAAACTAACCTTAAAGAAAGGGCTGCCACATGCACTAATTAAACACGGAGGGGCGGGGGGGAGCAAGTGTTAGTAGTTATTGCAGCATGTCACAATACTGTTTAACAAGTGCCTTTTCGAGTTTCCTGTGCCTCTGGTGATAGATGCTCATGTCAACAGCCCAAAGAGGATGCAAGGGGACTGCAAGAAACGTATCGCAACTTCAGCGAGAAAGCATCTCTTGAAAGACCCACAAGAAATACAGGATCTAATCCCTTCTCCTGCATCTGCCAGAGAGGATGCAGCTGCGTGAGTACATCTTGTGGAGGGCAGAAGCTGTAAAACTCTAGTCTAGCTACTAATTTAGAACTGATTAAATGCACGTAGCTGCTAACATAGATCTGACCAACTCAAGACATACAAGCTTAATGCACAAATGCTTTTAAAAGGCACCAGGCTCTTTTGTAGAAGGTTGAACAAACTTTCAATGTTGGACTAGTAGCCTAAAGAACATGAGTGAACACTTCACCTTAGAGACCTTCTTACTTCTTGGCCCGCTGCAATAGGTTATAGTTAAAAAAAACCTCATCAAGATTTACACTCAGGCACAATCCAGATGCACTGTTAAACTTTGCATCCATTATCAGTCTCCGCCTCCTATTTCTAGGACAAAATGAATCTCAGCATGTTCTCTGTGTAAATCATCTACAGACAGATATGCTTTTAGTGTAGGTAAGTACCTTTCCTGCAACTCAAAGCGACTGAAACCAATTAATATAGAATCTTTTATAAGCTTACCTGCTTCTGCAATGATGGCCTGAGCCAAAGAAAAAAAAAAACTGTTAAAATATTTTCTGGAATTCCACTTTGAAATAGAATTCTTGAAACATTCTGGATTCTGGCATAAAAAAAAAAAAACCTGTTAAAATATTTTCTGGAATTCCACTTTGAAATAGAATTCTTGAAACATTCTGGCCAGATGAATATAAAACACTACTGCAAATCTGCACAAAACAAAGCTAAATTCTTACTGTAAATCAGTTCCAATTGTTAGCACTAAAAATGTAAGCTATTACACTGAAGCTGCTAGGAAAGCCAGAGATGTAACCCTTATAATCATAACCAGAAGCAGCAGAATGGCTGAGCTGTTAACTCAGGACAGAAGATGAATGGTGGTCGTTACTTCATAGCCTAGCACCCTTCGCTAAGAGAAAAGAATAAAAGCTAGGTGATGCAATATTCACAAAGGTTTCTGGACTATAAGCTTTGTGATTCTTAATTAAATATTTGGAACTATGTCACTGTCACTATAGCCATTAAGAAAAATCGGGCAATGCAAAAAAGGGGGGGGGAATCGCTCTACTGTAATCATCCTAATGGCAAGGTATAGAATAAAAACATTAAGAGAGAGACTGCCTTCAAAGTGGCAGTCAAAATACTGAAAACTCATTGTACCATTCCAGTATTACAGCCCCTTCTACTTCAAAATTTATACTGTAATTACATACAGCTTATATTGTTCAAATATTTTCATTGGTTTTGTCTACAGTCTTCAGAATAAATTAGCTATTTTGGTAGAGAGGGATCCCTTCTGTTTGCTAAAAACTTGGGCCGAGATTCTCATACAGAATAAATGACATTGCATGTCCAAAGTCAGACTCAGTCCCTTGCAAAACATGAGCGAAAGAGCCTTTCCCAGCTGGCAAGTCCACCCTGTTTTGTACACGCAGAAGATGATTTTGTTTAAACCAACTGCTTGCATCATCTCTTTTGTGTTGTTATCCATTCCAAAGATTTTACAGCCTTGCAACAACAGATGGTTTAATTTCTTATCAAGGCCATCACAGTCATTTCTTCTAGATATCCGACTGGTTTTAATTCTCTAAGATATAACTATACTACAGAAAGCCTAAGAGAAATAAGTTAGTCACCCCTTTAACAAGGTAACAACATCGCATTTTAGGCTTCAGTGAATGACTGCAAATGACAGTAAAGAAAACGTGCAGAAACACTGTGGTTTCTAGGAGAAACCACATCTTGTCCTGGAGGCAGACAATGGGGACTGTATTGGGTTTGCGTGGCAAGGTTTTGGTAGCAGGGGGGCTACAGGGGTGGCTTCTGTGAGAAGCTGCTAGAAGCTTCCTCCATTTCCAACAGAGCCAATGCCAGCCGGCTCCAAGATGGACCCGCTGCTGGCCAAGGCTGAGCCCATCAGCGACGGTGGTAGCGCCTCTGGAATAACGTATTTAAGAAGGGGGGAAAAATGCTGCGCAACTGCAATTGCAACCAGAGAGAGGAGTGAGAATATGTGAGAAGCAACTCTGCAGACACCAAGGTCAGTGAAGAAGGAGGGGGAAGAGGTGCTCCAGGTGCCGGAGCAGAGACTCCCCTGCAGCCCGTGGTGAAGACCATGGTGAGGCAGGTTCTGCCCCTGCAGCCCATGGAAGCTAACAGTAGAGCAGATATCCACCTGCCGCCTGTGGAGGCACCCAATGC